AAATAAAAAGGGTAAAAATCTCACTTTTTTCGATTTCGTTATTTGTATGTTACTTTGCTTTTCATCTTCTTCTTGATTAAAAAACATAAAAAGGAACGAAACACCGATGATCGGGGGAAGGCGACCGATATTTTCAAACTCAGATCTAGGCCCCCCGAGGCTAGTTTTTAAAAAATGATTAGATTTTTGAAGTGGGAATGCGAAAAGCTTTCGGAAAAAGGTAAAAAAAAAAATTGGTCACCGCCGATGAACGGCGGCATGCGAGGCGGTGGTTGACTGAAAACTGGGTTTTGGGGTGGTGTTCTTCGTTTTCACGAAGAACACTTTAGAGGATTTTAAGGGTTTGGTTTTGATCCATTTTGGCTATAGGAGAAAAATGAATTTTGTTTCTACTCGACCCATGGGCCTGAAGGGATCCGCGTGTTTTTTTAAAAAGGGGGGAATCTTAGTTTTAGTCCCCCGTGTTTTTAAACTTTCATTTTTACCCCAAAATTTAATTTTTAATCTTGAATTCCTTCCAAATTTTTCTTCTTATTTAATTTCTTTTTCAATTTAATCCATATTATTATTACTATCATATATGTTTCTTTTTCTTATTATTTATTTAATTTAGTAGTAATATATATATATATATATATATATATATATATATATATATTTTTCTTGTATGCTTTTTTCTTTTCGGTTTACTTTTTTTTTATTTTTATCTATATATTTTATTATTATTATTATTTATATTTTTTTCTCTTCTTTTTATTTATGTTTTTTATTATTAATTTTCTTCACGTAATGTTTCATTCACATGTAAATATACATTTTTTTTCATTTTTTCTTTTATTTGTATATATCATGGTTTTATTTTTTTACCTATTTATTTATATATATATTTTATTTATTTTTTATTTTTTTATCTTTTCGTTTTATTTCACATGTCTATATATATGTTGTTTTTATTTTTGTTTTTGTTTTATTTCATTTTTCTCATTTTGTTTGTTTTATTTTTATTTATTTTACCATTTATTTATTTTGTCTAGTTTTTCCTTTGTTATTTTTTGTGTTGTTTATTATTTTCGTATTTATGCATTTTCTATCTGAATTTGATCTTGCACTTCATTATAAATCTAACTTCGCTATCTTTTTAAGGGTCTTCGTTCAAATCTATCAGATATAAGCAATTTGGATTATATTTTACCTTTTAATTTAAATTACAATTTTCTTAAGTAAGACAACTGGAAATTAAATAGTACCGAAAGAGCAGTTCAGGGGTGCTAACCCTTCTTTGAATGTAACCGACTCCCGAATCTGACATATCTTTGGTAAAATATAGATTAAGTAAGAAATTAAGGTGTCCGATCAGCCCAAATCTTGTTTTTAAAATGATCGGTGGCGACTCTAACTATTTCATTCAAGTCGAAATTCAATTCCAGGCCCACCCGAAAGACGATTATGACACTTTGAATGCTAAGCACACTCGAAAATAAACATTATTTCAATCGATTATTATTCACAACTGATTAAATAGAATTTATGTATAAAATATAGTTTTCTTTCAACATAACTGATAAAAATGCAAAGTAAACACACGAACTAAATAATCTCAATTGAACACTATAAATATTAAAAATGATCATTTAATATCAAAAGATTACAAATTATCTTTGGATGTAAACCCAATATGTTGGTCCGCATCCTGAGGCTAGCGTTTGTTTTTAGAAGCAAAAGGAAAACAGAAGGAATTAGGGGGGGGGGGGAAATGGCGTCGATAATATATTCTTCAGCCTTCCCGACGAGGTCCCTCAACTCATTCCCGAGTCACTCCGAACGTTCCAGCAAACTTAAATCACTGTCGTGGGCCTCTTTGTTTCCCTGTATCAACATCTCCGTTACCTCATTCACCCCCTCCTGCTCCATCTCTGCACAAGGTATTGTTTTTTGTTCTAACGTTATTGTTTTAATTCCTGGAAAATAATTTTGGATCAAGTAATGGGTCTTCATATGTTCAACATGAACCTGGAAAGATTGAGTTTAATTGTATACTTGATGGAAATTGTAATAGGTGAACAAGCATGCTTGGTTAATGACCAAGATTGGTTATTTCATTATTTTATTTGTCATAGATTGCATATGTTTCCCATGGAGGAATCAACAGTAGGGGAAACATTTTGATAGGAAATAAAAGTGTTTCTCTTATTGTTAATTTAATGGATATTAATAATTGGAGCCATAATTCTCGGTGTAGCAACTGAGGAACGTCGAGAAACCAGTGACTAGCCGTTGAGTATGGTGAAATTAGGTGCTCACAAGTCTGCAAACTGCTGCTTTGCTTTAATTTTACCAGAGCTGTCCTATTAAATACATGGTTTGATTTGTCTTTTTATTTTATGAAATGTAGTTTCAATGACTGCCCGTTTATTGTTTACCAAGTGGTACAAGTCCTTGCGTTGCCCTTTTGCTGATATACTCTTCTAATTGAAATTCAGTGATATCTGATGAACTTTATAAGAGTTTGCTGGTTTGGAAGGAATAATATATTTTCTATACAAAAGAAGGGATATCTATATATTTATATATACACTATGCTTGTTATTCGAATATGCCTAGGCATTGATGATTTTAAATAGCATTTTTGCATTGTGGAGATTTCTCTCGAAGCAAATGATGGTTATTAGACACAGTTTCTGATGAGAATATCATAAAATCTTAACCTTCATTATCTGGAGTAAAATAATATCATTCATGGTGCTTCTGTTTTTTATGGTTGATATGAGACATCTTGCTTTGTGGTTTGTTTTGCTGTTTACCAGCTTGTTCGCAGCTGGCATTTAACAGCCAATTGCAAAATTTTACTGGCGAAGTCCAATTGATATATACACACACAAACAAACATATGTATAAGATCAAAATCTTCTCTCGTTGTTGTGCTATATGTTCCATGGGATTGACTATCGTCATAGTATGATCAATCAAAATAGTTGAACTTATGAATTCATATGCTCAGGTTGTCTTCTGAGTGAAACAGACATCTGAATGATAATTTTAGTCATTCTTTGTAGACAACATGGATCTGTGCAACTTTTAACACTTTCGGGATCCCAAATTGTTCAGGCTTTAGCTTCCATGTTAAATGGTTGGAAAGGTCTTTGCTTTGATTTGTTATATGATAGTTACGGTTTTCTGTTGCGCATATTTAGCAAGTTAATTTTTGTTTGACATATTTATCTTCAGGGTTATTTTGTTCGAGCTTCCTGGATCAGGAGATCACGTGGCGAACTTGCAAAGCAACCCAATAGGAAATAATGGAAACAGAGGGCCAATATGTATATGAGGCCATTCCTACTAAATGTTTTCTTCTCGAAGAAATTTATTCATGCAAAAGTGATGCATTGGGGTACGAGCAAAGTGATATCAGTCGCAACCACGAATGCCAAGGATCTTAGAAACAATTTGCCATCCCTCACAGATCACAACGCATGCAGAGTAATTGGGAAACTTATTGCAGAACGATCAAAGGAAGCCGATGTCTATGCAATGTCTTATGAGCGTATAAAAGGTGAGAGGATTGAAGGTAAGCTAGGAATAGTTCTTGACACCATTAAGGAGAATGGGATCATATTTGTATGAGCCAATCAGCGCATTGCTGTCGTAAATAAATTAATTAATTGTAATTTGTTAACTGAACTTTGGAAATGCAATCAATATGGAGCCCTAGAATACAATCTTGGTTGTGCACTGGACTACTGGAGTATGAGATGATGAACGGCAAATATTCTGCTGGCATTCAGCCAAAACATATGATCTTGTAAGCAAAATCAAATTAACATTTATTTAGGCATAAGCTGTAAACAGGATCATAAAATGAAACAGACCAAATTACAGATATAAGTTAAATGTTGGGTCCGTTTACTTTTTCTAATCCCTGTTAGCCATGTTATTTATTCCTCTCGAACGACAGCCAAAGTTATGGGAGTTCATGTGTATTTTGACACCTAAACTTGTTGCACATTGTGGATGTTTTTATTTATTTAACAATGTTTGTTTCAAGAAACCATTTCATTAACAAATACTATTATCTTGTAATCATCTCATACAATTCAAAAAAAAGTTTATTTCACGAACCTTTACTTGTGATGTCATTTATGGCCTCAACCCTTAAAAGTCACTTGCCTCACTTTTTTTTTCATGTTACTAATCCACTCATAATTAATTTTCAAGTAACTATCTATTCTCATATTTACAAGTAAAAAAATCATTAAAAAAAGTTACAGAAGAAAAAGAAAACGAGATGAGTGAATTTTATTAGTTGAGAAAAAAAGAAGGCCAGCCAGCTGCTAGGGTCCATTTGGGTCAGATTCATGTAATAGACTCGAGACTAGAGAGAGCTTATTAAAAAAAAATTGAAGAAAGTTTCAAAAGATGAAAGAATGAGTAATGGCCACGCCTGCAAAAGCACCACCGAATTGCCTTATTGGGTCCAGATGCTTCGCTTTGCTCACACTTTCTGCAGTTTATTTTCTTTTCCTCTCAGAAAGATGGCAAAAAGGAATCAATTGAGTGGAAGGTATTATAGTTGACTGCTGGGGACTCCACTTTCTGGGTACTGGATGGATTGGGTTAAGTGCCCTTATTGGCCTACCAGCATTTCATTTATTTCTAGTGGTTCTTTTATAAGGTAGCATACCACCTAAAAAGATACTAGGTTCTATCACCAATTTTGTGCCTTCTTTCTTATCCCTTTCTCCTTAATAAACAATTCATTGTTAAAGCTTAATTATAAGTCTCTGCTTGCCAAAGTGCTGACAATCCTTTCCAAATTCGCCTCACAAATATATAAGATTTCTGATCGCCCATTATTGTTTGGTGGAATCCTTGTAATGGGATCTGATATTCATATTTATAACTAATATTATCTCATTCACGGACTGTGCTAAAATGACAGTACTCTGATTACAGTACAGTATTTCCCTATTCAACTTGTTGCTTCCCTGTGTTAGAACTTTAACATGGCCACTATACTTATTCTCTTTTGATTAACTTGGAGCAGCTCATATGTATGATAGCACTCAGGTTCTATCTCTGAACACAATCAGATCAGTGTAATACTTTGAAATCCAGCTCGCGATTATCCGAACTTCTGTTTTTCGTTGCTTGATCAACCATGGTGGATCAGTTTTCATTTCCGGTAAAAGATCCAGGCAATGAGATCCTACAAGGACAAAAAAAGGGTTCAACAGATTCTTGTTAGTGGATGTTTTGACGTGACAGGAACTAAGGAAACATATAGCCGTTTACATATTTCGTAAGAGATGGTATGTAAAGCACCATTTACTGTATATACTGCAACGACACTATCTGATATATTCTCCAATACCCTGAAGATAAGATAGGAATATTTGACATTTATGTTACGTGTATGATCAAATGATTGAATGCAAATGATCTGCAGAAATCAGATTATTGTTTAAATGAATTGTATGGAATTTGTTTCGGTACCCGCCACTGCTGTAAGGATCTCTGAGGCCATTAGAGAAAATGATGTTGCTGGCAAACCTATGGAGAATCAACTTTAAATCCTGTAAAATGATGATGATGATAAGATACTTTTTAAGGGTTAGGTTTCAGTATTAATAAATGGAATGTAATGATTGGGAAAGGAGGTTAAAGGACACAAACATGGCCTCCATAGTAAGTTGTCACCCAATGTGGACGAGGTTGGACACCAAATAAGCTCTTGCACTTCCTTATGAACTTGTTTAGATTGAATGGCGATGGTGGGAACATTGAAGCACTGTGTTCATGGCCTATAGGCATCACCATTTCACTACATGTCTGTAATGAGGTCAAATCCCATGTAAAATAATCTCATTGGGAATTGCATGCAATCATGAAGAAAGAAAGTTTAGTGGCATTAACATCTGATAATATTTCATACCAGGAAGCAGGAACCTAGCCCTACTAATATTCGGAAAATCTGAAAGTTCGAATAGCAACATATGTAACTCCCGATTTTAAAACCAATTCTTCTACAAGTTTTTGATTGATACATGGAGAGTAGCATCATCTAGCTACAGTAACATCTCACCTGCCATTTCCAACTCATATATGTTTCATCAGTTGGATGGTTGAATTCCTCCATGTCATAGCATGATTTATTTCCCATATAAGCAACGACACCGGCGAATATTCGGCCAAGTATATCCGTCCTCTTCGGGGCTCCATCGATGCCACGGCAGACGATATTAAGGGGATACGTTGGGGGACAATCATATTGAGCTACTTCAGAATATACTGAATCCAAGTAGTCTTTAAGATCGAAACTTCTCTTCAATTTTCTGAACAATAAGAAGATTAGTTATTTGTGCCTTATAATAACATTAAACATGGCATATTGACAATATTAGTGGTCATTAAATAGTTTACTTGCAAGTTTTGAACATCTTGCTGAGGATTGAAAGACCATTAAACTTGGAAGCAATTTTATCAATTTCATCCCATGATTTCCGGATAGTTTCATAGCATCTTTCACTAGTTTCCTGTCCATTATAGAACAAGTTGAAACTACGTTAAAAAAAGGGAATGGTTTATAGTCAAAAAGAGAATCAAAATCAGCCAATTAGATTTTTTTTTTTACTTTGAAATCCTTGGTCACAATGGCGTAGTAACCAACTTGCGGTGCAAGGCCATCAAAGTAAAGAATTGGAGCTGAGGATGCAAGAGCTCCAAGAGCAACATGTGGATATTTCAGCCGAAACCATGCAGCAAGCACTGCAAAACATATGAAAAATCATGAATATGGTCTTAGATTAAAAGAACCGGAATTTGTGTAAACTTACTTCCACCATATGATCCTCCGATGACGATCACTGGAGAATTCTTTGCCGAGAATGTTTTCTTGATGTGAATGATAATGGCAGCATAATCTGCAATAGCTTGAGCTGAGGTGAAGTAACCCCTAACACTGGCGTTTCTTAAAGCTGCTTCCCTTGATCCAAATGGTACGGATTTTCCATAGAACCGATGCTGCAAACATTACAATGTCATGGTTTCTGAGTAAATTAAAGCCTCCAAAACAGAAGATAAATAAAGACTTAAAAAATCTTCTTCTTCTTTTATGGAATAGGAAAATCATAATCTTACCTCTATATATACCTGCAAAGCCTTGAAACGAGGGGCATTATCTCTGAGAAAACCAATGCCAAATAAATCATAATCCAATGACTCTTCGGCACCAAAATAAACCAAGATTGGTGAAATAGTGTTTGGACCTCCCCACTGTTTAGAATCTATTATGTATCTTTGAGGAAAGATGGTGAAGCTTTCAGGTTTGTAGTTGAAGTGATCGAGAGTCTGGTTGTAAAAAAGGGTCTCGAAATCCTCTGAAACCGATGAGATCGATCCGGTTTGAGGTTTGCTTCGGATTGTTCTTCGAAGTGCTCCGAGCCTTGGGAAGCTGAACTGTGTTCCGGAGACATAGGATAAGGAAATTAAAGAAAACAAAAGCAATTGATGAAGAAATGAGTGTCTCGTGATCAAGTCCATGGACTTTGTTTATCTGCAAGATTTGAACTTCTTTATCTTGAGCTATATTATAGTTCAAGATGAGCATTCTATTTATACTACGTAAGAGATGGGTGATTCTTGTTAATTGAATTATGTACACCGCAATTTATAAATAATTAAGCGTTCAACATGTATATTTTTTACATATTTGCAGCGGTAGCTCGAGTCTTGGTGGTGTTATAAAGAGTCCAAGTTTTGAGTTTTATCCCAACCTTAATTACCAAAGATAATGTGGGAAAGGGTATTTACTACTCTATCCTTTTGTGAATCACATTGATCAATGAAAAAAAAGGGGTTATAATATTAATATATGAGACACCATTTGATGACATAAGCCTCAATGCATATTCAACTTTGATTTTTTTTTTTAAAATCGAAACGATGGAGTTAAACGATAAATAATTATCTTTAAATATTATAATTTCTATTTCAAGGTTAATTATTAGGTAATTTAGTAAAATATAATATTAAATTTTATAAAAAAATTAAAATTTTAATATTATTATAAAATTTGAACGAAAGTAGTTAATTATAAAATAAGATATTAAATACGGCTACTAAAAAAATATGTCGAAGGAAAAGCTGGCCTTCACTTGATTTCGAAGTTTAATTGGCGTTTTCTTCATTCTCCTCTCTAAATAAATAATCGAACAGATTCGGATTATATATCTGATTTTGATGGGAGTGTCTTTAAATAAAGATTTTCTGCATATATAATAACTCAAACTTAAGACTTATTTAAATAATATCAAACTGCTTACTACTTGAATCATCATTGGTCTCCGAAGCATTTTCCCTAGGGATGGACATGAGTCAGGTTTCGACTAACATGACCCGACCCAAAAAATATATACCCTCCACCCGACCCGAACACAACCCGAATTTTATGAGAAAAAATCTAAACCCAACCCGACTCGATCCGAAATAATAAAAATATTATTTTATTCAATAAAAATAGTGATTTAATTGGGAAAAAAATAATATATAGAGGAATATTATTGTAATTATTCTTAAATATATAAGGTAAAATTAAATATTTTTTGGGGTCGGATCAGGTTTGATATTTTTCAACATAAACCTGAATTATAACCAACCCGAACATCACATTTAAAAAATCAATCCGACTTAACACGACTATTTATTCAATAAAAACAATGATTTAATTGGAAAAAAATAATATATAGAGGAATATTATTGTAAATATTTTTAAATATATAAGGTAAAAATATGTATTTTTTTGGGTTGAATCAGGTCGGATATTTGTCAATATAAACATGAACTATATTCAACCCGAACATCATATTTAAAAAATCGATCCGACTTAACCGATCATTTATTAAATAAAAAAGTGATTTAATTAGAAAAAATATACTAGAGGAGTATTATTATAATTTTGGGTTGAATCAGGTCGGATATTTGTCAATATAAACATGAACTATATTCAACCCGAACATCATATTTAAAAAATCGATCCGACTTAACCCGATCATTTATTAAATAAAAACAGTGATTTAATTAGAAAAAATAATACATAGAGGAGTATTATTATAATTATTTTTAAATATATAAGGTAAAAATATGTATTTTTTTCGGGTTGAATCAGGTCGGATATTTGTCAATATAAACCTGAACTATAATCAACATGAACATCACATTTAAAAAATTAATCCGACTTGACCCAACCATAACCTAAATTAAAAAAAAAACGATCAAATCAAATTAGATCAAATACCATTGAATTCAGATCGCATGCCCATTCCTACTTTTCCCCGCAAGAGCTCCATAGATGTATTAGTGGTGAATGAGTGGATGCCTATGCGGTAATGTGTTGATGCTAAAGTACCTGATGAAAAGGAAAAGAAAAACACATGGATTATTTGATTGTCCCTTTTTAATTTACTCATCAAAGTTTGAAATCATTAGGAAAGGCCACGTTAAATGTCACTTGAAACGTATTATATTGATTAATTTATATAATTTTAATATTATTTAAAGTTCTTTTAGATCAATTTTAATATTATATAAAGACACATAAAAACATTCAATAATCTTTAATATTATATCTAATTTCTGGTTAACATATTCTTATATTTCTCATAGGTTTTATCTATTATTTTGTGCAGTTAATAATGGATAATTTATTTTTATAAATTCTATTAATAGTTTAAGATAATTATAAAGTCATATTTATTTATAATTATATTTAATTATTGATAATGTACGCACCTTACAATTTGAATCTATTTTATTTTTTATAATTTAGTACTGATATTACCAACCTGATAATATATAAAAAAATCTTTTAAATGCTAACATAGACTCCTGAAAATTGACCAAGCATGTAATTTTAAAATAAATATTTTATTGTTTTAGTTTTATCCATAGGTTTATGTTGTTAGATTTCAAGAATATTTCATTAGTATTTAAAAAAAGAGAAAATAACCTCAGTGACTAAGAATCCTAGATAATATACGATTTTGATCAATTTTTTTTGGATTTACGAAAATGACCAACAAAATCGCAATGCGATCTCTAATTCGCATTGCGATCTCTAATTCGCATTGCGATCTCCACTATCGCAAATTCGCGTTGCGATTTTCCATTTCGCATTGCGATAGTTGAAAATAGCGTTGCGATTTTCCATTTCGCGTTGCGGTAGTCTACAGTTGTTGTTGCGATAGTCTACAATTGTCGTTGCGATTTTCCAAATTCGTTACGATAGTTAAAAAAAAAAGATTTTGTTTCTTAAGAATTTTCTCTAAAAAGATAGTATCCGCGCGGACGTATCGAAGACACGTATTACCACGACCATTACCACGACCACGACCACGACCACGACCCGAGACGGACGGCGGCGGCGGTAGCGCGCGAGAGTCTCCCTTATTCTCTATCACTCAACAAGGAAGTGGGAAAGTCAAGCCTTAAATACCATTCCCAATAGTGTTTTCAATACTATGTGGGATTGAGCATTACCAACACTTATTTCCAATACAATGTGATTATTCAGGAAACAATTAACAATCATGCACCTTAAAACAACTGAATTAGCAACCAATTGCATTGGTATTATACGATTAAATATGTCATAATTAAAAGTCAATCTACAATCAATCGTGATTATTGCAATTTTAAGCAAAACATTCAAAAATAATATCACTATTTAAGGCTCAATCCCACATAGTATTGGGAACAAGTGTTGGTAATGCTCAAATCCCACATAGTATTGGAAACACTATTGGGAATAGTTTTTAAGGCTTGGTTTTCTCACTTTCTTGTTGAGTGATAGAGAACAAGGGGGACTCTCGCGCGCCGCCGCCGCCGCCGGTCGTGGTCGAGGTCGCGGATACTATCTTTTTAGAGAAACAAAATATTTTTTTTTAACTATCACATCTTTAATCGACTTTGTCGGATGCTAAAGCAAAGCTGGCCTTAAAGAGTAGAACTAAGTAACTAACAATAATGGGTAGCTAGTTATTTTGGCTTTGACTGAAGAATCGATCCGCCATTTGTGTTTCTGAGTGGACCTAAATGGGGGATCCATATATATTCCTTGATTGATTATGCAGAGAGGCAGGTTTCTTTAAGCCAATTAAAGGGGGTAAAAAAGAAAAGGCAAAAGGGGATGGTAGACTTTTTATATCCTTTTATGCTCCACGAAGTCTACAACAATTTCAATAGCCAAAGGAAGATGACCCGAAATGTTTTGTGGGTTTGTTGAGGAAATGAATCGAACCACGTTTATGAGATCATATAGGATGGAAGATCACGGTTACCAAAATCAGATAGCATGTGCATGTATGTGTATATAGGTCTGATGTTATCTATAATGGTGATGAGGAGAGTAAGATTAATGGTCATGATTGTGAAATAAAAGCACAAAATGGGAAATGGTCCAAATCAATAGGCAATTAAATCTATGCAAACGGATAGAAGCCTACCCACTTCCCCTCATTCCTTACTGTTTTGGCAACTGAAGCCACCAAAGTCTCATCCAGATTTGACATGATTGACAACAAAATTAAAGAATCCTTGCCTGATCTTGGCATATGAAAGTTTGATATCTGTCAAGTCTCCAATTTTAGACTCGTGTGAAAAATGTGTTATTAAATGAAAAACTCTCATTATTTTTTTAACAATAACTTCTTAAAATATTTGTTAGAAAAATAAACATTTGTGCACATGTAGGATTAACTCGCGTCCTACCCAGCGCGTGAATATGTCTCGCGTTCTACAAGACGTGAGGTATCATGCACTTTTTAGATTACCCAATTGAATATGATTATTTAATACCTCTTGTTTCCCAGAACGCGAGATCTCCGAGATATTGAATCGTCTCGATAAATTTATAGCGAAAATACCTCGCGTTTTCCAAAAAGCAAGGTATTTAGTTTTTCCAACAAACCATAAGTGCTTATACGCATGTTTGGGAGGATGTTCGGGTATTTAATCTCAAACTTTTTGTAACTTATGATTCTTCATATTGTATTGAAATTTATCTTTCAGTTGAGGCTAATATAAAGACATGCAATATATTGTAAGCGGGTTAAAAATTGGGTTGAAAATGATTCCAAAGCTTTTTTTTTTGCAAGAATAAGAAGATACAAAATCGAGTTCAAAATGGATCAAATGCTTTGTTTTGTGCATACAAAACAAGATAAAATAGCTTGAGGGACATGACTAGTATCGACACATACGATACATTTTAAGCGGTCTGATAATCGTGTTGAAAATTGTTTGAAACGAAAGTAGTACAATGAAAAAACATGATAAGTTTGAGAGAACGAGTTTGATGTCTTAAGTAGAGGATGACACCAAAAGAGGATGTCTTTTGAAAATCAACGTGGGCTTGATGGAGATTGGATCAGGGATAAATATAGAATTCAGAAGCCATGCCCACCACAATCATATCCACGTCACGAGCAATAAGTCGATGAAGCCACCTGAAGATAATGCGAAACAATTAGTTTCAAGAGAAGGTCGAGGTTTTACTCA